TTTGCATGGTCTGCGCAGTGCTGATGATGTAATAATTGTGAATTGAACCTTAAATTCAAACCAAAACCTTTCTCTTCGTGTGCTCCCATCTTGCATAACTACTCGTACATACTTCAGCTTCGCTCTCTACCCTGCTAAGAAGTAACTTCACTGTCTTGTTTGCTTTTGCAATAATATCAAAAATGTAAATGTTCTGTAAAAAGGCATGACTAGTGCCAAGTGACTGTGGCTACAATTATCAACTAGAAAATAAAAATGGAATTAAAACCTCCTCAACTGCAAAGTTCTTTAGATATTACCAAGTCAACATGTTAGCATATTATGCAATCAGAATTCTTCAATATGGATCTAAGTATGCATCAACACTGCTCCTATCTTTTTCTTTGCTTTTATTATAACATATACATTTCTGAATCCAGTCCCAGTAACAGAAAAGTACTGCTTTTCATCAAACTATTAGGGGCAAAATTTCATAAAATTTTTAACAAAAATTACATGACCAATGAGTATTGTTTATTTAGCAAGTATATTTACTAAGTGTAATGAAATAAAACTGCATCTTTCAAACAAAAGTCAGTACTTCCCAACATGGAGGGGGGAACCTTGGATTTGGTTCTTGGATTTGAAACCCTTTTATGGTAAAAGCTAAACTGACAGATATGACTGCAGTTGATTTAAAAAAAAAAAAAAAAAAAAAAAAAAAAAAAAAACCTGACTAAAAGTATACTCATGAACAAAAAGTATATTTATAAACAAGAAGGTTTACACAAAGAAAATTTAAAGAAGATCTGTCATTATTAAAACATTTCATTATTAAAAAATTCTGTGATATTTTTAAAAATTTGTTAAGAATTATATTAATATTAAAAAATCAGAATCTAAAGAAATTTTACAATTTAAAATAACAGACAATTACACATATAATTTATTACATTGGTTTATAAAAGCTATCAGAATTATACATTAAAAGCTGCAAAACATACATAACACACTTAAATATTTATCTTTTTTAATATGAAATTTGTTTAAATATTTTAACTAACTTGTATATGTTTTTCTTCTCTACAACATCTTTTTAAAGTTAATTTTGTTTAATAAACAAATCAATATTTTACTAGTATTTACTGTGTGTGTGTGATTATGGCAAAGCCTCGAGGGCTATTTGCCTAAGGGGAGGGATGCCTTCGTGGAGGACTTCCTAAGGTAAACTGGCTCGTATACACGTTACACATGGGGAAAACCACGAAAACGCCCATGTAGCCAGCACATTCGTGGGATTTGAACCTCGGACCGAACTACCAGTGTTCAGTGACTTTTACCACTTGGCCGCTGGTGGGCTCACTAGTATTTACTAATTTGTTAATATTTTTAACAATAGCCCTTGAAGAACAATTTCTCTCTACATAATCAGTTTCTTTGTCAGTTTCTCTTCATCTTGAAGTTTCAGATTCAACTACAGATTTTAGTTGTTCTAAAAATTCCATGTATTTATAATGTATGGAAGAAACTGCTAATTTTATTTCTTCAGTAATATCAATACTGAGAATAACTCTAGAAAACTTTATGATATGGTATGATTTTTCAGTCAAAAGTCGTTAATCCGGACTCGTCGGGACTTCGGTGATTCCGGATTATCGATTTTTCCGGATTATAGATCATCAGTTTAAATCTCGTTAGATGGCATGCAGAAATTCTAAAATTAAAAATATGAAACCGTAATTTATGAAATAAAGAACAATTATGATCTAAAGGGTATCAAAATTTACAAAAAAAAAAAAAAAAAAAAAAAAAAAAAAAGCTTAATATTTATTTGTTTACTTTATTAAACATTTCTTTCAATGTAAGTTGTTTAAGTTTTGCTTCGTTTCATGTGATATACTTTCTCTTTAATTCTATTAAACAGACATAATTTCTTGTTCAGTTACAAAGTTCCGCTGTTCAAGTCCTATAATTGCTGTGTCAAGAACACCGACTAATTTGTCAATCGAAATTTTTTCGTTTTCAATAACCTCTGTCACTTTTCTTCGCTATCGGAAGCGAATTATAATGACGAGGAACTTGTTTTAAATCATATCAAAGACGGAGCATATCGAGATGAAATACTACATTTGGTAAGGAATTATAAGCCAAATAAAATAAAAACATCTACGCTGAAGATAAGGATAGTGCTGACAGATCAACTTCCAATTCATTATGCGCTCGCCACGGCGTTCCCGCCTAGCAGCATGAAATTGATAAACAGATTTCGGATTTCAAAACATACTTTCGCTTTAGATCCTTTACATATTAACAAATATATATCGGAAATTCTATTTGATATAATCGAAAGTTTAAGCTTTCTTTTATAAAATTGCTCTTACAGTCTGCAAAAAATAATAAGCTGGATCCAATTCAAAAATTAAGGAACATCGCAATCATTAACATTAACTGAAATAGATAATTAGATAATTTTAGCTTATACGTCCATTATACATAAAACACGCACGCGAAAACGTATTCTGCACTTGCGCACACTCATATGCGCAGTCGTAAAAGGTCTTACGCGCACGCGTAAACGCCTATGCGCATGTGTCAATGCGGCGCATGCGCAGAAAGTTTTTAGTTTTGAGGTCCGGATTATAGATCATTCCGAATTATGGGTGTCCGAATTAACGACTTTTGACTGTATATATATAATGGATATTTTAAACTGTCAGTTTTCAATGTCTTTATTAATGCAAAAGTTTTCTATAGATGCTGGTCCAAGATAATCGACTACATGTTATTACTGAACCTGAAAATTTTTAGGAAAGAATATTGACAAAAGGCATGAATAAAGCACTTAAAATGCTGGGAAGGATATTTTTAACAATGTTTGCCAAAATTAAAGTAATTTATATCTGGCCTGGATCACATACTTATGCAGAATGTTTCAACTGTCCCTACTTTAGGACTACTAGGAAAAAAGCATGTCTGCCAACCTCTAAAATTTTTTTGTGCCTTTGTAAAAACAGTTCTAATTTTACCATCATATAAAATTTTTACATTTTATAAAGGTGTAAAAACTGCTAATTTAGTGATTCACAGCAAAATATATATTATATTTACATTTTGACCTCTTTGAAGGTCATGTTTTTTCCATAATGTGATCTTCAAGGAGGACAAAGATTTCATCACAGATCACGCTTTGAAACATGACTGAAGGGTCAATTCAGAAGTCAAACAACAAAAATCAGCGTTATATTTACAAAATTTTTTTTTTTTTTTTTCACAGGACTAGTTTCGATGGTTTCACCGAACCACCATCTTCAGCTGCAAAACCGCAAATGAACCAGATAGGAAATAATGATTAGATAAGATAAGAAAGCCTGGACAAAAATAAGCAAGTGGCGCCATCTGTTGGTGAAACCAGAACTAAAACACAATTTCTTTAAAGGCCGAAGGCAAATTTGGATTGGAATTAGGATCGTTAACTAGAACAGAAATTTTTATGTTTTTTTATGAATGTGAAATGCCTCTAGAAAATCCAGTTCTCCAATGGAAGATGTTTTTTTGAATAATTTTGGCAGCAGAAAAACTGAAAGTGTGGTTTTCGGACCAACAATGTTGAGCAACAGAAGACTTCTGTGTTTCCCTTTTTTCTAACATATGCCTCATGTTCCTTGACGCGAAATTTTAAGGCTCTCTTAGTTTGGCCAATGTAAATTAAACCACACTGGCAAGGAATCCTATAAATACCCCAGGAATTCATATCCGGAATGGGGTCCTTGAGTATGGAACTCGGAATTTTATTGATGGGAGAATAAACAACCCGAAAGTTAAATTTCTGCAAAATATGTGCAACTTTATAGCTAATTGATGGAAAGAAGGGAATGACAACAGAATTTTTATAATCTCCTAAAACAAGAGTGTGCCTTTTAGTGTGTTGAAAATTAAAATTTTCATCTCATCTGTTAAAAAATTCTCATCAAACCACACTTTCAGTTTTTCTGCTGCCAAAATTATTCAAAAAACATCTTCCATTGGAGAACTGGATTTTCTAGAGGCATTTCACATTCATAAAAATCTTTCTGTTCTAGTTAACGATTCTAATTCCAATCCAAATTTGCCTTCGGCCTTTAAAGAAATTGTGTTTTAGTTCTGGATTCACCAACAGATGGCGCCACTTGCTTATTCTTGTCCAGGCTTTCTTATCTTATCTAATCATTATTTCCTATCTGATTCATTTGCGGTTTTGCAGCTGAAGATGGTGGTTCGGTGAAACCATCGAAACTAGTCCTGTGAAAAAAAAAAAATTTGTAAATATAACGCTGATTTTTGTTGTTTGACTTCTGAATTAGTATTTGATCGCCGTGTTATTGTGTCTTAATTATGAAGGGTCAATGTTTAAGTCCAAGAAATTTTTGCTTTCAACACATACAAATAATATTCTTGTTAATAAGAACTATTTTGAAAGATTGGATAAGCAGCCAATCAGGCATTCAGAAACTTTCATAGTACTTTTGTATTATCCCATCGATCATTGGAGGAAATTTTGATAACAGTCACCAGTCATTATTATGGAATTCTAAAGAAAGTGGTCATCCATAATTGGCACTAAATTACACAACTTCACCAGAATAGCACTAGAATCTATCTTGCAAGATAATTTTTTGAAAGTTGAGGAAAAGAATAAGATTAAGTTAAACATTGATAAAGAACTCTTTGATAGCATTTATGCCTATATTTAAATTATTCATGGAACTTAATTAATAGGTGAAAAATTTCTAATTTCAGTACATCAAAGAGACTTTAAAGAAATTATAATCTATATTTAATATTTTTTACAAATGGTAGAATATTGTTAAGATTATTAATATAAGCATGCTGCCTTTTATTTTTTTAACAAAAAAGATTAAAAAAAAACTACATTCTAATAAAAGCACTTATATTGTTAATTCCATACACAAATATTTATTTCCCACTTTCATGAACAGCAAATATGTTTTTTGAAAATTAGTAACAAAAAATTGAAAAAATACTTTTTTTCCAGTAAATTTAAATCCCATTTCAAATATGCAGCAACCTTTAGAGCTAGCAACTTAAGAGCTAGCTTCTTTTTGCTCTCTTTTTCTTCTTTAGCACCTAAAAGAAAATGTGTTATAATTTAGTGTAATTTGTTAAGAGTAAATAAAAATATATGCCACAAATATCCTCTCTAAACTCAAGCATTTCCAATATACAAGAAAAATATTTCCATATTGGATATTCATTTTTATATTCTGTTCTACAGCAGTTCTGCTTCATGCAAAATTTAGTAGTTGCTTTATATTGCAAAAATGAAAATTTAAGTTTAAAAAAAAATGGCCCATCCAGAAAGTTCAGCATTTTTTTTTTATGATAAATACGAAACAAGCAGTAAAAAACAAATATATATATATATACATATATAACTGCCCAACCCTGAAAAGAATTCACCAAGCAATAAATTAAGATAACCAACCCATAATACTGTGGAAAAAAAATTCATGTGGCAACCCAGGTATGTGAATAATCGCAGTACATGAACATGTACTTCGGCTTTTCAAACTGAATGGACATTTCTCTGGCTGGTGATTGTTCTGATTAGCGCTTGATGAGCTTATGCACTTTTTTCCTTGGAACTGCAAAGGGGCCATGGAGTTTAGTGGCAGATGAAAAAAAAAAAAAAAAAAAAAAAAAAAAAGCATTGCAATTCTTTAGGAATATAGTGTTTTACAAATACAGTGTTTTGTACAGTAGAGAATGCAAAAATTCACATTCGATGAGGCTGTCTTTAGTAAATACCCACATTTTACGAATCAAAATTAACATACTGGTGTTGAATTTGCGCAGTTCTCTGATGTGTTTTAATGTACATATGGATTGCTATGTACATGGGAAAACATCATTTGCAATACTAATTTTGTATAAATCTCTGATTTTTTTCAAGCAAAAGCAGACTGTTGAGTACATGAAGAGAATGACAATTTGCACATCCTTGGCAAACAACATGACTGCTGACACACTGTCGAGTTTCTGCAATTTTCTGATGCTTTTTGAAGCTAAAGCAGATTGCTGCATATGTAGAGAAAACAAAGCCCCCTTCCTCTTAAAAAAATGAACAAACAGGTTTTGTTATGGATGTTTCTTGCATTTTTAATTTTGTTAAGTGGTTGCTGTTTTATATAATTCTTACTGTGCAATCATTTTTGGAAACGGCTGTTATCTTTCCTGTCTTTACTTTGTAAAAAATTAGTTGCCAATGCCTAGTAATTTTTCACGAGGATTCAGTGGATAATCAGACAGTACTAGAAATTTCATTGAATCACTGTTTTGTTCTAAATATTTTACCATCTCTCTGGCATTTGAAAATCCCTTTTTCGAGAAAAACCATTAGGTTTATTCATAAAGAAGTTATCAAGGTATGACAATCTTCAAAGAAATGTCCATGTTATTCACAGAATTTTTAGGTGATCTAATATGATGAAAATCAGAAAAGTCAAATGAATGGGGGAAAGACAGAAAGTCAGGGGGAACAAATGTTTTCCAAATGCATTGTTTGATTTTGTGATAATAATTCATAATGTTCAATTCCATTGCAATCCCACTATACACAAAGCATTAATTCTTTGGGATGCAACCCCCTTCAATGTTACTAAAGGAGGTTCTTTTGGTTTATGCCATGAACTTTTTTCTTTTGTAGCATTATTTTATAATATCCCCATCTCTACAAATCTCCAGTAATGAGCTGTTTCAAAAAAGGAGCTTCCTTATTTTTTTTTCAAAGAAAGAATCACATGATAAAACTCAAGCAAACATATTCTGCTCTGTTAAAATATAAGGAAACCATATATTGTAGCAGTTTACTCACTCTCTAATATTAAACACTGTACTTTTTGGAATGTTTAGTCTCTGTTAGAATTATGAAACATGAGCAAAAGAGACCATATTTAAACACCTACTTTGATCAAGATCACTCCTTATCAGCAGTAAGAAAATAATTAGAAGAAAATGTATGCTTTGATTTGAAAATCGAAAAAAAACTCAGAAGTTTTCAGATGGCTCAATATATGCATGATTAACATATGACCACAAGAAATATGTAATTTTTGCAATAAAAAATGGAAATTTTGCCAAAAAGTCTAAAAAGAAAAAGAGAGCAAATCACTCCTTTTTTTTTTTTTTAAATTGACTGCAATTAAATAAACTAATGTAATAATATGAAAAAAAGATTGAAAGCTAACATTACTATAGTCTCAATATTCTCTTCTTTCATTCCACGACTAATATAATATAGATGGTACGATTTTTTGCATTCATATTGAAAAGTCATGAAAAAGTATTCACATGGCAAAGTAGTACGTCACCAAAATGGTTATGTGGTAACCCATGATGTCACCAAAAAGTATTTATGTGACCACCAGATATGAATGAAGCACATGTCTGTTTTGATCTGTGGGCAATGCCGATGCTATATTATGCCAAGTTATGCAATTCTCTGGCATTTTATAAGCAAAAATAGATCGTTGTGTATATGGGGAAAACAACTCTACAATAAAGAAGGATTTCTCAAAAAAAAGTAACTGTTTTCATTGCAATGTTTCTTGCTTCTTTAAATTTTATTGAGTGGTTGCTCTTCTATGGAATTCTTTGTATAGCATCAATTTAAAATGGCCATTGCCTTTCCCATATTTGATGGGCAAAAAATTAGTTGACAATGAATTCATGACTTTTCAGTGTGGGGTGCGAAAAATCAGAAAAGATAAGTTGTCAGGGGAACAGTCATTAGTACAATTACAGGACTCTGAATCAAGCATCTATGGGCAACATATGATAAAAAAAGTTAAATCAGAATGAAAATTTGATTAATTTTGCCATACTGAAAAAGAATTATAAGTTTTCATTCATAATCATACATTAAATTCTGCTTCCAAACTCTGATCAGGGGGAAAAAGAACAATATTTTAAAAAATTGTGCCCGCCATTGGAAAGAAAAAAAACTTTTAAAAATTAGCAAAGCATACATTATGCATACATTCACTTTACAGTAAAACCAGTAACAATATGAACATTTGAGAAAGAACAAACATACAAATAAAATTAATAATTACTTGCACAGAATAAAAATGTATGCATTATTTTGAAATGAGACATCTATGTATTTCACTTCCATACAAAAGATACTTCTAAAAAGTCCTGAATGAAAGTTTTTCTTATAGACACTAAATGTTCAAACCTCAGAGTGACCAGTACTTGGGAGAGTATCGGTTCAGTTATGAAGAAATGAACTTGTACATCATTTATCTGGAGAATTTCTTTAAATATCAAATGTCAATTTTAGAAATCTACCATTGATTTAAGTGATATCCAGATTATTAAAGAAAATTAAAAAGCAGAATAAATGAAGTTAGCATGTTCATGAAGATGGTCCTAATATGGGTTCAGCAGTTTTACCTATTTTAACCATTAATGGGTAAAACATTAAGTAGTGCTTTAGAAAAAGACTAAGCTTGGACTGAAAAATTGGATTAGAGAACTGAATAGTATGCAGATTGGAGAACTGCTGTGCAATAATAATGATAATTGTAAATATCTGTGACAATAATGAATATGCAAAAATTTAAAAAAAAATTGAGGAAAATTCATATCTTCATTCTGTAGGTGCAAACGATATTGTTGAAAGTATACTTTTGCTGCAACAAAATGACGCTGAACCTACCACATCACTGGGAAAAATTAACTTCGAAGCTTTGAATTTCTGGATTAAAAAAAAATACATTAGGCATAAAGTTCTCATTCACAGTGATGTTAAATCATGAGTCCTCAGTTTGTCAGAAAATAGACCAATGACCTGAAAAGTAAGAAGAAAGAAAAGAAATATAGTGAAGCATTTAAAGACTACTTCTTGAATCATGGACTCATTATAGATAAAAGGTTAAAAATTCAATTTGATTAAACAGTAGCAACAAAGAAAAAACAGTATTCTGCCAGATTATTTTTAATAATTTATGTAGCCTCTACCAGCATGTGTCCCACCACAATTTCTATGCTAAAATGAGAGAGTTTCTTTTTTCACTCAATTTGTAAATTTTTAGTACCAAAAGTGCTGTAGTCTTGAACCGCTTTTTCATCTGTATCATTTCTCAAACTGCCACTAAATGTGATCACCATGTATTATTTTTCTGTGTGTTTCTTGCACTGTGGAAAAACAATGATACCTAAAACCAAAAAATTTTGAATACCGTAGTCCTCTGCCTGAACATGAACACTTTGAAGCCCAGATTTTGAATTTGTTTTTTAGTTATTTTACTTTTTGGAAAATTTAATGAATTTTTAATTAAGAAACTCAGCAATTTATTGAACTTACGTACTATGAAGACTAGCTTGGCAACATTTGCCGATAAAAATCTTCATGGGCATTTTTTGGCTTATGTTTAAAAATTATTTTAAAAATAAAAGCCCTAATTATAAAGGAACAAAAGCTTAAAAATCTAAACATCCTGAATATATACATATTATAAAAAATGGCATATATATATATAGTATATATAAACTATATACGAATTAAAAAAATTATTTTACTTAAAACTGTTTAAAAGAAAACGTTGGAGTTAATGGTGAGGAAATAAGCGGGAAATAGCTTTTAAAATAGCATCAAAAGGCGTTTCCTGTTTTTAATTCATAACCTTAACACGTAATAAACGTAAAGTTTCATGTGTTTAACCTAAACATAATAATATGGATAAATGTAGCAAAAAAAAAGGTGTGGTAATACCAAGTGCACGATAATATTATTTATTTTAGCGCTCTCTATAACCTATATTAGGGTTAACCTGTATAACCTACAAAGGTCATCAGTTTTGATGAGATATCTAGGTAGTTGTCATAGTACGTAAGTACCACATATTTTTATGATATTACAAAAGCTAGACTCATTAAAATCATTGTATACTTTTCCTTTTTTACAACTCTTTTAGGTGGTTGGCAGTACTACCAGCTATTTTTTAAAAAACAATAAAGTGAACATGAAAAAAAAAATTATGGCAAAACTTAACACCTTAAAAAGAAAGACTGCCATAATACATGTTAGAATTATGAAACATGAGCAAAAAAGACCATTTATGTCAGGAATTCGGAAAAAACGGAAACGGAATAAAAACGAAATAAAAACGGAATAAAGATATTCCGTTTTTAAATATAGGATTATCAGGAAAGAATCATCTGATTATAAAATTTAATATTTTCCATAATTACAGAAAGAAAATTATAAATAACATGTCACTGCAAAGAATAAAATGTTAAATTTTTTTCCTGCAAGTGTTTAATTCGACTTCCTTTAGTCACCCATTATAATATCAATGCAATATGCCACTTCTAACCAAACATGTTGTTATGTTTCACTATTAACTGTTTGTAAAGCATCACAAATGCATTGTTTGAGTTCAGGCAAACACATAAACAAAGGTAGTATGAACACAAGATCTTTAACATATGCCCAAAGGAAGAATTCATATGGGATTAAGTCAGGTAACCTAGGAAGGTATAGAACCAAATCAATGGCTAAATATTGTAACCAATGCAATGGTGTGGTAGCTTCCTGTTTAGAAATTTACAAACCTCCATGTGCCAATGGGGTGGTACACCATCTTGTTGAAAACTGAAATTTAGCATACCTTCCTTCAACTTTAAAGTCAAGCCAAATTTCCAACACAACAAGGTAGGTAATACAGTCAAAAGTCATTAATCCAGACTCGTCGGGCGATTCTGGATTATCGATTTTTCCAGATTATAGATTATCAGTTTAAATCTCGTAAGATGGCATGCAGAAATTCTAAAATTAAAAATATGAAACTGTAATTTATGAAATAAAGAACAATTATGTTCTAAAGGGTATCAAAATTTATATTAAAAAAAACCTTAATATTTATTTGTTTACTTTATTAATCATTTCTTTCAATGTAAGTTGTTTAAGTTGCTTCATTTTATGTGATAATACTTTCTCTTTAATTCTATAAAACAGACATAATTTCTTGTTTCAGTTACAAAGTTCCGCTGTTCAAGTCCATAATTGCTTGTGCCGAGAATACCGACTAACTTGTCAATCGAAATTTTTTTTGTTTCACTAACCTCTCTGTCACATTCTTCAGTCTTTATCCATTTTTTGTAGCAATTCCACTTTTTGTTTGATGGACATCAAAACATACTTTCGTTTTGTAGATCCTTTGGGAGCTCCAGCATCGGAAATTCTATTTGACATAATCGAAAGTTCAAGTTTACTTTTATAAAATTGCTCTTACAGTCTGCAAAAAATAATAAGCAGCATCCAATTCAAAGATTAAGGAACAATGCAATCATCAACATTAACTGAAATAGATAATTAGATAATTTTAGCTTATCCTGTCCGTTATACATTAAACGCGCACGCGAAAACGTATTTTGTGCTTGCGCACATGCATATGTGCAGCCATAAAGGTCTTACGCGCAAGCGTAAACGCCTATGCGCATGTGTCAAAGCGGCGCATGCACAGAAAGTTTTTAGCTTAGAGGTCCGGATTAGGGGTGTCCGAATTAATGACTTTTGACTGTACCACTCACTGATTTTTCAGCAAAAAAGGAATGGTTCACAAACCTTTGAAGAAGATATTTATGTTTACTTTTGGGGAGTCTCTTGCATGTTCAATGTAGGCACAGGGATGTTATGGCGGTTTACATTGCGGTTTACTTTAAATGAAAGATGGCTTCGTCACTAAATCACTTGCATTCATGAAAAGGCAGTAATTTAGACATTGTAACTCAGAGCTAGCATGTTTTGTTATCTGTAAGGCTTAAAATGGAATTGCTTTTTTTACACAATCCAACTGGGAGACTGTATGCCAAGTTCATGACTAGCACGAACCGTCAATTTCTTCAAAATGCATAAAATGTCTCTTGCACTCTTAACATTCTCTGCTGAAACACATGCATAATCTCCTGCAGCTGGTTGTACCACTTTCAGCTACATTAAGATGTCAGTGTTTTTATTTGTTTGGTATTTCTTTGTTACACAGCCCTCAACCATATTTAGCGATTTTAGATTTGCACCAAGATCTCCGCTATACTTTCGCCATACTCATGAAGTGCGAATGTAAAAATAAACAAAAAAAATAAAAATATATATATATATATAATAATAACAATAATACTCATTTCCTAAGAATATGTTTCAGAATCTTTATCCTTATCCACATTATTATTATTTTATCCCATGCAACTATTCCAGTCAACTGCAGAATTTTAAGACAAATTAAGCTGTTTGCTACACCATTTCATGGACGTTAATGCCTCTGCCCCAAAATACATAAATCTAATAATAGTGACGAATTGCAGAATTTCCTTCTTCTTTTTGCAATTTCTAACATTGCACCTCAAAATGGTTTCATCGTTAACATAATGTTTTATGTTGTGGCCATTTTCGCATACTCATGTGTCAGGTTTATGACCTCTTTCTTGAAAAAATGATATGACATCCATCTCATTACTTGGTAAATTAAAAATTATCATCATATTAAAAAAAAAGCAGTTTTAAAATAAACAATGCGAATATGAAAACCGCATCAAAAATGAATAATATAAGAACATGCAACAAGAGCAAAAATTCAACCCTCTGCTAATATATGATTACATGGCAAGGTGTAAGAACATGCAGCCGGTGTTAATATGATCATGTGGTAAGGTGATCGATCATACAGCCAGATTTTGAGGAAATATCTTGGTTAATTAGCAGTTCAATCTAGGAGATTACTACAACAAAGAATTATCATACTTTCTCCTACATTCCCACTGAAACATGATTATTGACTGCCTTCTTCTTGCAAAGGAGAGCAGACAAAAACCTTCTTCCGCTTAGACACTATTTCCACTTCTTTTCAAAATTTGAAACAGTTTAATGACAGTAGTGTTGCCACTTATTGCAAAAAGAAAATGTTACAAACTAAAAATTAAAAAATTTTCCTTTGCAATGACATATTATAATTTTCAATTTGTAATTATGGAAAATATTAACTTTTGTAATCAGATTTTCTTTCCTGTATTTTGCAATTTTCTGTTGAATTTTATGCGGCATAAGTGCAAAGGATGATATTTAATAAATAAAGTTAGAAACACGAAAAGAAAAAAAAAAAGGGAAAAAAAAAAAAAACACATCAACATTAAATTGAATCCTTTCAGATTTTTCTTTTTCTTTTTCATTTTCATCTTTTATACAAGTTTCTTCCAATTTTAGTATACATTTTTCATAGCCAACTCTAACAAAGCAGACTTCTTCCTATTCCACTTATTTTCAAATTCAATCTTAACGGCAATTCACCTGCAGTACTTGCACATTATAAATTGCTTTAGATTCCAATAAATGGATAAATTTTCATTGTATGTTGGGGTTAAAAAAATTAAGTCCCCCCTAATTTCCATAAGCTGTAAGATAATTAAGAAATTTACACATTTCTTAGCTACTGTACGATTGTGTGAAACTTAGACAAAACTCCAGGTGCAAAGATTGTGCTTCTCTTGCGAGATGCTCAAAATATGTCAAATTGTAAAAGAATTAAATTACATAAAAAGCAGAACAAATGACTGTAGACTAAAGTTAATAATTCACTTGAAACACTCATGATTAGAAAGTTTACTAAAATAATATCTTAAGACTACCTATAAGTTTCAGATATAAATAAAGCTAACTTACTTTTAGAGAATTCAAAATCAGAGCTAACTTCATCTACACCGTTACCTAATATACCACCAGAAGATAAAACTGAATTATTGTGTTGATTGTTATTTGCATTTCCAGCTGAATCCACAGGCTGACTGATAGAATTAGCCAAAAATTTGATAATTAAATCAGTTGGACTAGGATCTAAAATAAAATAAATGCAAATTTATTAATATTCAGAATTATTCATTTCTGAAATACTCAGATACAATTTCTTTTATTAAAATATACACACATATGTATTGTGACAGATAAAAAAAATTCATAGGCTGACAGAAAATGATACTTATATATTAGCGAAACCACTTTGGCATAATTTGGGAAATTGATAAGTTACTTATGGCATTGCCAATTTTTTAAAATTGTCAAACTATCGAAATTTATTATAAGTTGGCAAACTTTATCAATGTATCCAAAGAAAACCATTTTAGCAATTTAAATACTAATTTCAATTATTAAATAATGATGATATTATACATTAAATAAGAATTATATAATATATTAAAAAATAAAACACTTATACTTTTTGCCAACTCCTGAAATTTTTCTTCTTTCCACATACACAGCGATCTGTTTTTGTTCAAAAATTCAGACAAGTGCACAAACTCGACATTGTGTCTTGGCCATATATTAAATGCATCTCATTACTGCACAGAGAAAATTCAGTCTTGTTAGCAATTAAATTTATTCCCATGCAACACTGTAATGCATTTTTTCTTTTTGCTTCAAATATGCAGTTTTAAAGATACTGAACAGCATTTAAAAACAGACAAAACATATACAAGAAAGGAACATCCCACAATACTTTTGGTTAAGGCCACATAAAAGGGGAGTTGTTGGTTGTCAAAACTGAAAAATAGTCGTGTGCAGGGTTGTCAGAAGAACTATTATGTGTGTAGTTATCAGAATCTAGTGCATTCTGAAACTTCAGTGATATCTACTTAGGTGGTAGCGATAATATGTAAGTACCCAGAAAAAAATTTGTCTCATTCACAAGTACATATAGTTTGAAACTTTTATTTTAGACGAAATGCTCATTTTAACACACCAGACACCATGGCAGTTTTTAGGATTGAGATTTCAAACCCAAATTGATTTTTTAAAAAATTCTAATTATAATACACAGATGACCAAAAATCATAGTATTTATATTTTGTTAAGTAAAAGTCTTATGAGTTATTTTATATTTGGCATAGAAGGTGTTCAGCATTTTTCCACCCAATATCTACTGGTTCTAAATTCTAAAACTTTTGCTGTCATAAATTCCGCTGTCCAGCGTCTCCAGTAAATTCTAGAAAATTTGCTTTCTCTAAATTCCAAACTTCTTGTTACACGGCATGTCTGCACTGGCCCTGACTATGAGTTAATTTGTACTCAGACATGGTTTCATTTATCAAAACCAAAATCAGCGACATGTCTCTAAATTTAATTTCAATCATAAAATCTCTAGCACTAGTTTGATGTTAATTTATTATTTAGAAATTGATATTTGTTAATTTCATGTTCCATGATTTTTAACACTCTGTCGGACACAATATGCTTCGGAACACGTTCAAGAGCATTGAGCCTGAGAGACACTTGTTGATTTACTAAACTGTTTTATACATAAAAAGACTTTTTCTTACAAAAATCAAATGCTATCCATTATTATTAAACCTCTACAAATAATAAAGGCACTTACGGGACAATAAAAAAATTTTTATAGTCTTGAAAGGAAACTAGAGCTAATCTTTGGAATATGGTAACAGGTAGTTTGGCGACATTTTGGTAAAGCAATAAAGGTTACTAGCTAGGACTTTAGCAGTGTACATGGATAAAGTCAAGAGTGTGCGCAATGCCATTTTTGTGCAATTCTGGGATGTTTATTTAAGTGAAAATTGGTCGACGTGTACATGGATACCGTGTATGTGCAATTCTTAAAAACGCGGCAAGCAGTTTGTGATTCTACACTTTCGCACCTAATCTTCGTCATGATTAAGCACTTTTGTTCCATAAAAGTTCTAGCATAAGCGTAATTCGGCTAGCAGATTGTTGGAAAAAAAGGTTGATCTTTACAATATGGTAACTGGTAGTTTGGCGACATTTTGGAGGCGATAAGGTTACTACCTGGGACTTTTTGGTATAATGTGAGCATACTCGTTCCGATTACGCATTTTTTGTGTGAGGGAATGAGAGATCATGGATATGTCATGTGATATTAATGGACGAATTTACGGTTCTTTAATCGGAAAAGGGGGGGAAATCGGGAAAAAATCTGGAAGTTTTGTATTTGGCTTTATTCTGTGTTTGTGTGAAACAGTGTTCGTGAATTTTTGGATCCCATGGCCGTAACTAAAGTGAATTCGAATGGGGTTTTTATGTATGTATTAATTTAATGTATGTGCTCATTTTAATTTATTTTAAGTATGTTTTTTTTAATTATAATTTTAATAGATAGTATTTGTGAATTTTATGTTTGTAGAATTTGGTATTACGTTTTAGTTGAAGTAAACGTGCATGGAAATAATTTAAATATCTGACACACTATTTTTTGTAATGGTTGCGGTATGATTCGTTGGTGATGTGTATAATGTAATAGATGATTTAGAGGTAAAAGTTTTTGGATATTTTATTTATTTTATATGTGGAAATGTTCATATTTGGAAAGGGTAAATACTTTTTCGCGATCAGTAATTTCATATTGTTTCTTTTTAACCGGGGTTTAAAAGATTGAGAAAATTGTCATGTATTTTCATGAAATTTTTTCTAATTTATGAGAAAAAAAGCAGTGTACATGGATATAGTGAAGAGTGTGCGCAATGCCATTTTTTTGTGCAATTCTGGGATGTTTTTTTTAAGTAAAAAATAAGTCGACGTGTACATGGTTTTAGTGATATTTTAATTAAATGATAGTTTTTTTGTGAATTTTATGTTTGTAAGGAATTTGGTAACACGTTTAAGTTGAAGTAAACGTGCATGGAAATAATTTAATTTTTGATACTAAGTATTTGTAATGCTTGCGGTATGAATTCGTTGGTGACGTGTATAATGTAATAGATGATTTAGAGGAGTTTTTGGATATTTTATTTATTATATGTGGAAATGTTCATATTTGGAAAGGGTAATACTTTTTCGCGATCAGGTAATTTCATATATGTTCTTTTTACCGGGTTTAAGATAAAAAAAAAAAAAAAAAAAAAAAAAAAAAAAAAAAAAAAAACACAAAGAGAAAATTGTCATGTATTTTCATGAAATTTTTAATAATTTATGAGAAAAAAGCAGTGTACATGGATATAGTGAAGAGTGTGAGCAATGCCATTTTTTGTGCAATTCTGGAATGTTTTTTTTAAGTAAAAATAATCGCGTGTACATGGTTTATGTGTATGTGTTATTTTGAAAAAAACGCGTAACGCGTAAGGAGTATGTATTTGTGCACTTTTTCCAATTTTGCAGTGAATATTTGTCATGATTAAGCAGTTTTGTTAGATAAAATTTCTAGCATAAGTGTAATCGGCTAGTAGATTGTTGGAAGAAGTGTTCGAGATAAAAGAAAAGAAAACATGTCTTTACTTCATGAAGACAAATGGCGGCGGGAAAAAAAAAAAAAAAAAAAAAAAAATAAAAAAAAAAAAAAAAAAAAAAAAAAAAAAAAAAAAAAAAAAAAAAAAAAAAAAAAAAAAAAAAAAAAAAAAAAAAAAAAAAAAAAAAAAAAAAAAAAAAAAAAAAAAAAAAAATGCCTTTACCTTTCGTGAAAAAAATGGCAATCCAAACAAAAAACTAGCAGGTTGCTGTAGCAGGGTTGGTTGCCAAATTTTTGCAAAAAAATCGCCGAGTTACCATAATCCAAGATTAACCGAAACTAGTATATTAAACAAATTTTTTAAAATAACTTTTATAAAGTTGGTTAACTTGGCGATTTTTTGGCAAAAATTTGGCGACCAACCCTGCTACAGCAACCTGATAGTTTTGTTTTGGACGCCATTTTGTTTCCACGAAGTAAATGCATTTTTTTTTTTTTTTTTTTACTCAACATTTTTTTTCAACAATCTGCTAGCCAAATTACGCTTATGCTAGAACTTTTATGGAACAAAAGTGCTTAATCATGACGAAGATTAGGTGCGAAATTGGGAGACAGTGCAGAATTGCCCACTGCTTACCACATTTTTAAGAATTGCACATACACGGTATCCATGTACACGTCGACCAATTTTCACTTAAAAAAACATCCCAGAATTGCACAAAAATGGCATTGCGCACACTCTTGACTTTATCCATGTACACTGCTAAAGTCCTAGCTACTAACCTTTATCGCCTTACCAAAATGTCGCCAAACTACCTGTTACTATATTCCAAAGATTAGCCTAAAGTTGTTATACAAGACTAATAATAGATTTAAATTTAATTAAAACTAGAACAAAAGTATAAGCTCTCATTCATCTGATCCATAAGGAGATATATGTTCTTCTACTTCTCTTTTATAGCACAGAAGACACATGACAACAGCACATGAGAGGCAGGATGCTGTGTGACACTTTTTGCACTCATATTAGCTTAATCTTCCGAGTATCCAAATAGCACGTTTCACATTTGCATCTTTTTGAAGGTATCTGTGACTCATCATAATTTTGAGGTTGTTGTCAGGAGTGTATCTTATCTTGTTTATCTGTTGTTGTTGGGAGTGTATCTCTTTAATTTTTGAGAGCAAGACTTCGTTGAGCAAGTTGTCCAAGCGGTACTTACGTATTATCGCAACCAGGTCAAAATTCGCATAAATTGCAAAATTTGGCGACCCTACTTACGGCAACCCTACGTGTTATACGTAGTTTTGTAAAAAGAGCATGTGGAGATTCACAAAATTTTCCTGCATTTTCGTGCAAATTTTTGTAATTTATGAGAAAATAGCAGTGTACATGGATAAAGTGAAGAGTGTGCGCAATGCCATTTTTGTGCAATTCTGGGATGTTTTTTTGACAGTCGACATGTACATGGTTATGGCGAATACTGGTTTTTAATCAGTGCTAAAAGCAATAGCCAAAAGATTTCCGCTGAAAAAATAATTCTGCAACTTATTGAAATTCGAAACCGGAAGGGTTTAATTTCTATTTTATATTTAAAACAAATAATAAATAAAAAAACTGTATTAAAAATTATCTGTAATTAATAAATGTACATTTTCTTTCTATTCATACATTTTTACTCAAACTTACAAATAGCGTCAACCTGGTTGCGATAATACGTAAGTACCGTCCAAGCACAAGTCCATTAGACAGCTGTTTTATGAACTTCTTTCTTCCATTACTTATATCTGATAATTGACTGAAGGTTTAACATTGTAAAAAACATTACCATGGGCCACTGATTAACATTCCAAGATATATTATATAAAGACAACATATTGGTAAAATCCTAGGAGAGCCCGCACGCTTGCCGACAAACTGGGAAAGTGCGCACTGCTTCGCAAGTTTTTCAAAATCGCCAATTTAAAAATAGCAAGTCAAAGAATTGCACAAACTCAGTATCCATGTACACATCAACCTATTTTCACTTAGAAAAACATCAGAGAATTGCATAAACTTGGCATTGCACACTCGAGTTTGCCCATGTACACAACGATACGAGCCATAAACAAAATCATTTGCACCAAGGGTATGGGCTCTACTAGGAACCAACCCAACATATCTAAAGCTAAGATAACATATCTAAGCACATTTTATCTACAATATCTACTCCTAGTATGGTTTCATTATAGAAACTGATTATTTCTGGTTTCTGTTTTTAGCAGTAGAAAAGCCATTAGCTTGGTCATCATGCAATTATTATTATTTTTTTTTTAATGTAGGACACCAAAACATTACCATCATTACTGAAGTATTCTGGTTTGGCTTTGTCCTAAATAAAAGACAATATTTTCTTCAGTGGTATCTTCTTCGCTTCCCTCTTGTTCCATCTCTGATCCTTCTTCCCTCTACACTATCTTTTGAATCAATATAGTTTTCAATATCAAAATCCTCATCCTCATCTTCTTCATCTGAATGCCTCCAATAAACAGTGAATTTCTTCAAGGACTTGAAGGATTCTCACATCAAACATTTTTTGGCTAATCTTTGGAATATGGTAACAGGTAGTTTGGCGAAATTCTGGTAAGGTGATAAAGGTTACTAGCTAGGACTTTAGCAGCGTACATGGATAAAGTCAAGAGTGTGCGCAATGCCATTTTTGTGCAAGTCTGGGATGATTTTTTGGTACTTACGTATTAACGCAACCGGGCCAAAATTCGCATAAATCGCCAAACTTGGCGACCCTACTTACGGCAACCCTACGTGTGTGGAAATAGACGAAAGTTTATTTGTAAAAAGAAAAAATAACACTGGGCGTGTACTACCACAGCAATGGGTTTTCGGCGGAATTTGCCGAGAAAAGAAAGAGACTTTTTTGGTATCTGTACCTAACAGAAGTGCCATTACCCTCATGGAAAAAATTTGCGAGAATATCAAGGAAGGAAGCATAATTTATTCGGATTGCTGGAAAGGATACAATACAAGTGAGTTCGAAAATGCTGGATTTCTGCATGGAACTGTTAATCACAAATATAACTTTGTGGATCCCAACACGGTCATTCACACATAACATGTAGAGCGCATGTGGGGCTCAGCCAAATGGCGCAACAAAAACAGAGAGGAACAGCCCATCATCATCTTGACTCATACCTTATCGAATTTATATGGTGCCAAGCTCAAGCTGTTAATGGCGAAGACGGTTTTCAATCAGTGCTAAAAGCAATAGCCAAAAGAATTCCGCCGAAAAAATAATTCTGCAACTTATTGAAATTCGAAACCGGACGGGTTTAATTGCTATTTTATATTTTAAAACAAAAATAATATAAAAAAAAACTGTATTAAAAAAAAATTATCTGTAATTAATAAATGTACATTTTCTTTCTATTCATACTTTTTTACTCAAACTTACAAATCGCGCCAACCTGGTTGCGATAATACGTAAGTACCGTTTTTTTAAGTGAAAATAAGTCGACGTGTACATGGATACCATGTATGTGCAATTCTTAAAAACGCTGCAAGCAGTGTGCGATTCTGCACTTTCTTCCAATTTCGCACCTAATCTTCGTTATGATTAAGGACTTTTGTTCCATAAAAGTTCTAGCATAAGTGTAATTCGGCTAGCAGATTATTGCAAAAAAATGTTGAGGGGGAAAAAAAAAAAAAAAAAAAAAGAAAAAAAAACAAAAAAAAAAAAAAAAAAAAGAAAAAAAAAAAAAAAAGAACATGCCTTTACTTCGTGAAAACAAAATGGCGTCCCAAAAAAAAAAAAAAAAAAAAAAAAAAAAAAAAAACTAGCAGGTTGCTGTAGCAGGGTTGGTCGCCAAATTTTCGCCAAGTTATATAATCCGAAGATTAAGCCACTTTTCTTTTCACATTTTGAAGCCTGAACCAAACAAATATTTGTAATGTTACGAAAATGTCCTTGTCAAATTTTGTAATATGCAATATTTTAAATTATTAAAACATTTTACAACTCACGACATGATCAGGTGCAATGTGCTTGAAAAGCCAAAGCTAAAAAACATACTTAATTTTGTAGATAATAATATAATATTTTATTATATGAAATGGCTAACCAAAGAATATGATACAGTATTAAAAAATCACAAAAAGCATACCTGTCAAACTGCAATATAATCAAGCATAATGAACCTATTAGATCATTTCATTTGTCAAGTGGAAATTAAGAAAGGCTAATCTTTGGAATATGGTAACAGGTAGTTTGGCGACATTTTGGTAAGGCGATAAAAGGTTACTAGCTAGGACTTTAGCAATAATCTGAGAAGTACACAGTTCGAATCACAGATTATTTTATCTCAGAGAAATGAGAAATAATGAGGCATGTAATGGGACATTTTACGGAAAAATTCCAATCGGGTTTTAGCTAATAAGCACTTAGAAACAATTTCGCTGCTAAAGTGCAGAATCGCCCACTTATTTGTTTGATGGTTTTTACAAGAGTAAGAAAATTTGGATTTTTGTCAACTTTCTTTGACTTTTTAAGTGAAAATAGGTCGATGTCTACATGGATAAAGTCAAGAGTGTGCGCAATGCCATTTTTGTGCAAGTCTGGGATATTTTTTTAAGTGAAAATAAGTCGACGTGTACATGGATACCGTGTATATGCAATTCTTAAAAACGTGACAAGCAGTGGGCGATTCTACACTTTCTCCCAATTTCGCTTTTAATCTTCATAATGATTAAGCACTTTTGTTCCATAAAAGTTCTAGCATAAGTGTAATTCAGCTAGCAGATTGTTGGAAAAAATGTTGGGGGGGGGGGAAACATGCCTTTACTTCGTGAAAACAAAATGGCGTCCAAAAAATCACCCAGTTACCCTAATCCGAAGATTCACATTAAGAAATATACTCACTGACTGATTTTATGACTGCCAGTGGCACTAGAAGATGGAAAGCTAACTGGATGGAGAAGGAATTAAGACGTTTGAAGGAGGCCCAGCAAACAAAAGTGCTCGAGGTGTGCCTAGCAGATCAAATTTGCCTGACGGAGTGTTAAAAAGTTAATCCATACAAATTAATACTTACAAGTACTTTAAATGATCATTTATCCATTCAATGTTACGTTATATGCTTTTATGTTAAAACACGACACAGAAAATCTTCATGGAAGAACATATAAGGGCAAAATGTAAAATTAGGCTATGGGTTTAGATTATGGATTAGATAAAATCGATGTCAATCTAAAGCGTCTTCTCCATTCTTTTTTAGTTTTATATGTTGTCTTAGCTTTTTCTTCAGATGCTCTAATTAAACTAAATTATCTTTCTAGTAAAACATCTTCGACACATCAAGCTTAGATACTTCAGAAAGTCTCTTATAAAAGTCCTTTTTCTATTGCAAAATACCGTATACGTAAAAACCTCATATTATTTATATGATATATATATAGAGAGAGAGAGGCAACGATGGGTTATATGGTAAATTCTTTTGCTGCACGAAAGTCTTAAATGAAAGTCCTTTTTCTACTGCAAAATGCGTAAAAAAGATCATATCATATATACATATAGACAACGACGGGCAATGTGGTAACTTCTTTCGCTACATATCTCGCTCAATATAACACAGAGTTACACCAAAACAAGGAACTGCACTATATAACAGCGCTGAGTATGCACACTTACCTGTACCCCCTTCAGTTAAATGTTTTTCTAAAAGCAATGGGTTCAATAAAAATTCAAACCAAAGAATTTTCTGGGGAGAAGGTGGACGGTGCTTAGTTCGAGAATCAAACATTTTATTCTTTCTGAATGCAGAATTACATTCGTCTTTACTTCATACAAAAGCAGAGATAGTAGTTCTGTTTATAGTATAAGATTTTCGTACATCAACACAGCCGGCCCAAAACAAAGAGTTGAGTTGAATAGTTTAAGACTGTTATTACTGTGGCCAGTTTTTATCAATAATCACACTGTAGAAGGCTGAAGGCACAGGTACGAAGCACATGTTTACAGGCGTCTAGGCTAAAAGCCTCATCCTGAATGTAACACATTGCGAATTAGCATGACGTTCCTATCATAACATGATGAAGTAGGCAGAGAATTCCAAACTATGGTATTCTCACAAGATAATTGCGATGATGAGCAGTTCGTATACCCATCTGGAGACGCAGATAAACTGCCTAAGAAATGACAAGGTCTATTCTAGTCATCAGATTCTGCAAATTTTAACAGTAACATTGCTGCTTGAAATCCAATTTGTAGTTTCTCGGCTGAGTTTTTTTGCCGCTCTGATCTTCCCAATACAGGATATGATGGCAGTAAGGAACGCGTTGATTTTCTCGTCTTGTATCCAATTAAGGGCCTCGTTTAATTCTTTCGGCGGAGGGGGGTGATTTTTCCTTGCAATTTCTCGATGGGTAGGTTGATTTTCTTTCCTTCATGACTTTTCGAGAACTGCTTCACTTTTAAAATAGGGAAGTTCTTGAACTTCAGGTCTTGGACTATGGAATTTTCAGTAATAGTGGATGGGAGGTTCTTATAACGCGGATCGGTTTTTCAAATTCGAAGTGGTAGGAATGGAAGAATAGTTTCTTCTCTAGAAGTAGTTCACTCATCAAACTGTAGTCCGTCAGGTTCTTGGTGTATACAAAAATCGAGTTTCCCTTCATTTGGGAATCGTGGGCTTCAGAACAGTGTATCGTGAACAATTCGTCCAGCTTCATCCAATCCGTTTCGTTTTGAGAGAATACAATCGGTGGGGGGGGCGGGCTCACTTTGCTGGCTCCTTCGACTGGGTTGTCCTCTGAAATTCTCCTGAGTATCTGAAATCAATTTTCGTGTGGTATCTCCATAGGGACTGGCTTTACTCAAATTTTTACTGTCTTCTTGGGGGAAATCCAATTACCTTCCTTATCAACGGGAGTGGCGTCTTGTTCCCTTCGTTGTCTTTTGCTGTTAAGTTAGAAGTTTTCTTTGGGTATTCCATCCCTAGATTACCCACTTCTTCAGGGGACTTATCAGCCCTTAGTTGTTCTTCAAATTCTCTGTGGCGCGTCAAGTGTTCCGTTCCGAATTCCTGTAGAAGCAGCTGTATTTTTTCCTCCCCGTAGTCCTGAGTTAATTTCTGAAATTTTCCCTCTCAGGTTCCTTCCTCCTTTGCAATTTCGGTCTCCGATACAGCGTTATCCTTTTTTGCTTTCACCTTTTTCCTGAGTCAAGGATCCTTCAAGAATTCTTCACGTTTCGATGTGGATGGTAGCGAGAAAGTCGAGAGTCCTGAGTCCGTGCAATCTCTGGCTTCATCGTCTGTATTAACTGCCCTAAACATACTTTCTGTGTAACCCAAAGAGTCACTTTCAAAAGTCAAAGCAGAGCTCAATCAAAAGCTATAAGTACACTAACCGGCCGCCTACGGGACTGGGTCAGTTCACAGTAAGAATCGTGGAGCTAACTAAAGCGCGTGGAACACGCTCGGAGTCACAGCTCGGAATGTAGAAGGCTGAAATGAAGTTACTACGAGACAAGATTTTCTTAATAATATTAGCTTAGGAAAACTTCAGGATTCTATATTAAATGATTGCTTGATTGATTATGATGTACGATAAAATAACAACAAAAACAACGAAATAAATAACTATTTTTCTAGTCTCAAATATTCTTCCTCTTTCTTATTTACAAGAAAAGACTTTGCAATTAACTTGAGCGCAGCTAAATGGGTTACAACTCTGAAACAAAATAAAAGAGATAACAGAAAACTCATGTTGTTGGTTTTTATGCAGCCGTAATATATAGTCAGAAGTTATAAATGAGTAATATCTCCTTCAAATAATCCTTTGTAAAGTTATTCACCAGCGATATCTCTTATTACCTTCGTTGCATTTGTGGAACAATTTTTTCCAATGGCGGTCCCTTGCCTATAACGGTACGGGCCACTTTTAAGGCCAGAGGTGGTGGCTATTTTATTGTGGAGGCAGCTAATAGGCGGCCACTGTTACTTCCTATGAAGGGACAGACAATGGCTTTTCGAAACACTACCAAACACGCAAAATAATAATGCAATTTTAAATTTAAGTTTCTCTTGAAAAATTAACATATTAATTTATTTCCCTACGTGCCACTTTTATAGGGACATTTTATGAAGTTATTTGTTTGTATATCTAGAAGAGCAGCAAAATTAAGGACCACCGGGAATAGTTATGCTACAAAATACAACTAAATCTTTTTCAAAAGTTTCGTTAGCTTTCTCCTCAAGCTCCTCATTAAATGGTATGTAAATTTTGATTCGGGATTGTCTTGTTTCAAAGCAGTAAAATATCTGTATAAGTATTCGCTCTGAACAGCTATGTGTTTAGCTCTGAATAGCTACGTATTTACAGGGGACAGTAGAAACTCATTTAAAAAATCACAGTTCTTTGCGTGACCTTCCTGACGTCAGTGTACCTTATTATGCAGCAAAATATCTGCATATTTACTCTATATTTCAACTATAAATTGGCGATGATAAAGAGCTTTAGCTACAACTGTGTTGACAATCTTGATTACCAATTCCATAATATTAATATTACAAAGATCTGGAAATGTCTAGACAAAAACCCACAGTGGTAAGCAAGTATCTCTTGGTTCAATTTCCCCTTCAAAATAGAAACAAAACCTTTTCTCAATTCGGTCATGCATTTTGCCCCATCTACTAAAACTGAAACAATTTTAGCGAGTGAGATATATGTTCCTCCACACATTCAATGATTCCCAGCATCCAATGTTTCATGCATTCAATATTATTCCAAGCATTTGTAATTCTTCGTCAGGTATCTGACCTTTCAGCGGCAATAATCCTGAAAGATCTCCTTTAGGACCAGTAGACGAAATAAATCAAACAAAAAGTGAAATTTACACTTTGCTATTTATGTCGTAAGATTCGTCAAATGCCTATTGATAAAGCGGAAAATAATTTAAGATCCATTTTACTGACTGGTTGTATTCAAAGACATCTGATTATTCTGTCTTTGACTATTTTAACATTTATCCTCTTAGCAATCTCTTGATTGATAATAAAATTTGCAATATTAACATTGGTTGAAGATTCCGTCTAACTTTTGGTTTTCTTCTTACATTTCGTGTTAAAAATATGTTAACTTTAAGTATTACTAGATATGTTCCCATAAAAATATTTATTGTTACTTAAATTTATTTGAGAATTAAATGGACTAAAATCTAAGTGATAAAATATAACATCTATTAAATGTACCTGCTTGAGTACGTGCATTAGGTATTTTTCGAAAAATTTCTCTATTTTCACTTACAAAATTGTCTGAAAAAATTTAGATATGTGCATAAACCCAAAAGTTTAGTCCATTTAACTCACAGTATTTCATGTAATATTTGTATGAAGTTTCATAAAATAACTACAGAAACATCATAAAATAGAATTTTAAGTTATAGTTTCTTTCGTAATAGAAAAGTTTAAGAAAAAAATCAAAGTTTTTCAAAAAATAGGCGACGGAAACAAAGACAGAAGGAAAAGGAAATGTTGCCAAGTATGAATATTATGTAGCAAAAACTAATGTTTTTGCAATACAATAATTTTCTCGAGCACATAATAACAAATAGAAAGATTCAAAATCATCTTTTGAACATCTCTAGAATTATTCAAATGAGCATTCTCATTTGAAAATTATTTAGAGTAGTCTGTATACCTTTAGAAGTATTCAAATGAACATTCTCATTTTAAAATTATTTAGAGTAGTCTGTATACCTTTAGACTTCCAGGCTCTTAAACAGAAACTTCCTGTTCACGACGAGGAACAAAAATAGCCACAATTCTCCTTCTAACGACAATAGAGACAACATAAGAATAGTTTTGGGAAGCAAATAATGTATAAGCTTTAAAATAAAGTATGAATTTGTTTTGAAAAGTTTCATCAAAATTGACGATTAGAACGTAGTCGGGTACATTAATGATGATACACGCTTACCTATAATAAGCAGCAATTTAGCGAAAGACTTGGCAAGGAAAATGACGTTATGTATTTCGTTTGCGGAGCTAATTAGAAGGAATAATTTTCCATCTTTCTGAAGAAATTCTTTTTGGGGTGTTATTACTTTCTCACTGATGAATTAAAAATAAAATATGTATGTGAATAGCAGGACTACGACAACTCAACACGACTAACTGTATTGCAGTGAAGTGAATGATTTAAGATAAGGAGAGGAGTTGTGCTTTCGACTAAGACGTAACGATTAGACAACGAAGATGTAGCCTTTCAATCATCACTCTTTTATCATTTGTAAATAGTTACTAATGTATCTCCACCTTTACCTAAATAAAATAATTTAGTCATCTAGATGTGTGTCGTCAGCCTAGAAATCCCCTAGATCTCGAGTTCACATGTATGCCAAAAAACGTTTTTTAATGTAAAATACTTAAATTAGCATTTTGCATTAAAAAACTCTTGCACTAAAAGAAGTGTAAGTGCACTAAAAAAGTTTACAAATGCACTAAAAGAAAAATTAATTTTGTTAGCTATTACAATATTCTATTCTGCAATATATGCGAATAAATGCAAAATCGTCCATCTTCAGCATGAAAATTATACTGCCACAATAACATAATTTTAAGGAGTAACAGAAGATGATGATATGGAAACGATATATATATATAAGAATTTTTATATTAGTTTCACATAAACAGTACGGATTTAAAAAATTCGTAATTGTTAGCTGTTTAATAGTTTTAATTTTACTCAAATATGACTAAGGATATTATAATAACTGAAAAATTATATTTTAATGTTTAGCGTACTTATTAATTTAAAATAATTTTTATATGCACTTTATTGCTTCAGTATAAACTCCATCTCTACATGGTAATTTTATGATACTTTGTGTCGTATGAAAATAGTTTTAGCTTTTTTCTTCT